GAATGCCGGCCTGGTCGTCTCTAACTCACCAATCCGCCTCTCTTCCAACAGAGACTTGATTTCCGCAATCTTATCTAGGGCTTTCCGGAGGATGCTGAGGGCAGGGAGAAGGGAAAGAAGAGGTCTGGATGAAGCACAAAGCGCAGACTTCTTTTTCTCATTATGGCAGGCTGGCTAGCTCAGACCAGCCCTGATGCTGGAAACTATAAACCCTAAGCACGTGTTTTTTAATCTTAAAAGCATAAAAGAATTGATGAGGCAAGAGGAAGTGGCAGGCCAAAAAACCTAAGAGCGTCCTGGAGAGGTAAGCAAAGCAGAGAGCTGCCTTGGCCGGAGTGCATCCGACAAATCCTGAAGTGTTGCTGGGTGCCAGCAGACTCCAACAACCTCTTGCAATTCGGAGGACAGAAGTTAAAACTTGGGGTCTGCCCTAGTGGCACCTGTAAAAGAGACACTCCAGAGGACTGTGGGGCGTTGTCTCGGCTCAGAGCAGGGCTGGGGGTGGAGGGAACTCATCCCTGAAAGACTGCAGCTCCAGGAAACCTCTGGAGTTCGATTATGGCGGTTCCAGGGTGGCTGGGACCCAAGCAACTTGGCAGAAGTGCACACAAATCCTTGTGGGAAGAAGGCTTCTTTATCCTAGACCTTTGGGAACCTCCCCCAAAGAATATCTCAACAGCAATAAGCAGCAGAGAAGCCACTTCAGGTCACTTATTCTCCAGCACATTCCTCTCGCAAACCTTTAGTAAATACCCACGTGTTTCTGAAGGCCTTGGTTCAGACCCATGAGAACACAGCACAATTGTGTCACAGGAGGTATCCCAGAGGGTGTGACTCTTGTGGACTCATCAGGCAAAGAAAGGCCAGAAGATCGGGCAAGGGGCAGCCTTGGCAGAGGGAACTGCGCAAACCAAAGCAGGGAGGGATGAACACCGTGCTGACAGGCTTGGAGCACTGAAGCTCAGCGTGGCTGGTGTCGGACACCAGGATGACTCAGCCAGAGCCACCTCGGGCTTGTGAGTGAGCACTGGGACACGGGGCAATAAGGCTTCCAGGAGAGCAGAGGGGGAGTAAAAGCCAGCAGGCCAAAGGGAACTTGCAAAGTCTGATCATTGCTGCTGGGCCTGTTTAGAGGACATCCTTTTACGTAGTATGTCCTAAGCTGTATTCTGTGAGACATTAATGGAGTGGTTCTCAACCCTAGCTGGACATCAGAACGCCCTGGGGAGATTTTTATAAAGAATCCCAATTGCTTTAAGTAAGAATCATCAACAGATGCCAAAACTAGTGGGTCTGATGTGAAACGGGATATGTACATAGTCTCCAGGTATCTCTCATAAGATACTTATTAATCACACAATGGAAAACAGCAATAACTTGACACAGGAGAAACCTGGAAGAGCCCACCTTGACCAGTGGGAATCTTTGGGCCTCTAATATGATGACGGAGGACGACATCACTTCCACGCTATTACTTCCAAAAGCGTAAAACCTGAATCTGATCGTGAGGAAACATCAGACAAACCCAACTGAGGGCCATTCTACACTGGCCTGTAATCTTCAAAATGTCAAGGTCAGGAAAAGCAAAGACAGCCTGGGAACTGTTCCAGATTGGAAGAGACCAGAGAGACATGAAAACTAAACACAGTGCTGATCTGCACTATAAAAAT